TAGCCAAAGGCATAGTAAATTTTAGTTTTTTTTTTTTTAAAATAGTACCTATGCAGGGAACATGCAGTCTATCTGCGAGGTTGTTGAATTTTGTTAGCAGCTACTTGTCACTTCCTTACTCCTTATATGTATCTACATTAATTTTACTGTGGTTTTCTTCCTGATGTTGTCATTTGTGTGTGTTTGTTTTTTTTAATCTTGTCTTGCATGTTTATAGCAAAGCTATTGAAAGGGAATCGTAGATATTTACAGGATATACCCTTGGAACTCAGAGTTAGCATGCTTTCAGTTGAAAGCATCATAATTATTTCATCTGAACATCGTACATTTTTGATAGTTTGCTTCTAATTACCTTGCATGTTCTCTGAGAAGCATAATGTTAATCTTGGGGAAAAACAGCCTTTAAAGCTAAACGCACCAGTTCTATTAGTTAATTCTTGAAAATTGAGGATATAAAGAAATTGATTTAATTCAGATGAAAGTTGTATCTGCTAGTGTAACTACTGTACTGTTTGTTAGCTGCTGTTTTCTGTAACAATCATTATTGTGTAACTGAATGGTTCTTTATCTAAAGAGCATCTAGAGTTTCTAACATCCTTTTCCTTTTCTAACTTCAGGCTGCAATATCATCCTTTAACCTGACTTGGGTGTTTGTATGACAGTTCTAATGGATGTGGTATATATGCAGCCTATATGCTGTGCAGAGCACTGTCAGAGCAGTGACGTTTCAGTCCTTGTGAGATTTAGGTAAATCTCTTGTGCAAATCTTTGCTTTGGGAGAGAGAAATGGTTACTGTTATGAAGAACGATGATGTTTTTATTAACAGCATACTTCTGGAAGGAAATAAAACATCTCGGCAGACTGTCACAGAGCACTTGGTTAAAAAGTAGTGCTGTGGGACACAGCTCTAGAAGGGCACTCTGACACTGGGATTGGCTCCTCTATCCCCTTTTTCTCTAGTTATGCTTTAGAAGCCCTGCAGTCCAAGCCTGTGCACACAGGCAGGATCGGTTAGACCTACAGCTGACAGAAGCTTTTTACTTCTGATGCCCATCAGAACTTTGAAGTAATCTGGTCCAGTGCTTCTCTATCCGAGCAGTGGGAAAGGTGCTGACTTTACAGTATTTATGCAAGTTTTGCGTTACAAATTAAGCTTTGTCTTTTTCCTTGTCATGAAATGGTGTTAAGCACTAACATCTTTATGACAGAGTTTGAGAGGTAACATGCTGTTTGTTCGTCCTCAGAAGAAAGATAGGAAAATAAAACATTATCTGAAAGGGTCAGAAACATGAAAAAAATGCTTACTTAAATTTTTCACTGCTGTTTCATTCTAACACATATGTTACTGAATACTTCATCTTAGAAATGCCACACAGTGTCTGCTCCCCAAAATACTGGCTTCGTTTCTTTTCCACTAACTCCTGTGCCCTATTTCTCCATCTTCCATTTTTTCCATCTTTAGCTCAGAAAACACTCTCCTGTGACTTAACATTTTTAAAGCAAACTAAGAAGTTCACCAGTAGCAGCAAAAAACATGACACTGGTGCATGCTAAGGAGATACTTCTGAGTCAGACAAGTGTTATTAATCTTGTCATTTATTCCTGGTTTGTCTGAGAATAACACTGAACTGTGTGTTGGGTCAGTGCTTTGCTAGAAGGAACAAATAGAAATCTCAGCACATTTCTGGGGCAGTTGGCCCAAATTAGCATAGTGCTACTTCTGCCACACTCACTGTTTACATCACTAAGCTCTGTCCTAGGAGAAAACAGAGTAGGCATTGCTCCTCGTACAATATCTGAGAGAAGGGAAGAACTTCTTTCTCTCATGTGGTGGCTAGGACACTTCAGCATTTGGCACTGTGCTGCCAAGAGTGCAATTCAAGCGATTACAAAGAAAGCAAGAGGGACCATGGCTTTGTTTCAATGCTTAGTTGGGAAGGATGGACCTAATGTGGCATTGATGTTTATCAGAACCGAGGAATCGGCAGACAAGAAAAGGATTAGGTATATGTTTCTTTGCCTTGCCTTGATCAGCTGTGAGCGGTATTGCTGTATCTATTTACCAAGAAGCAGGCTGCAGCAATCAACGTAACTGGTATCAAAAACTGTTGCGTATATTATTGTTCTTCAGTTGGTAACTTAGTAACCCAATGTGAAGGGAAGAAATAATTTCTGAATAATAAAGACTATCTGGCCACAAAGGTAGTGACAGGTACCATCATCCCACATTCTGTAGTAGCAAAATCATCTATAATCCTGCATTGATAGCATTATCTGATTTATTACTGTAAGACTCGGGAAGATCGATGGATGAACAAAGGCAGAACTGTATGTTCAGGGTTTGCTCAAGGACAGTATAAGAAGTTCCTGAAATGTCGTGTTTTTAAGAGCTAAAATAGTAGAGTGGATTTAACATTACAGAGGTAGCAAGCAGTCGTCTTTGTTGAGCGCCCTGTTGCTGGGAAATCTGTACACTTCATAGACAGCAATAAGGTATTTTATATTGTGCAAAAATTTCAAGGCTCCTAAGGCGTAAATCTCTACAAATTAGTGAAGATGTTAAACACAGGTCACTTGTAATACTTCAGGACTGACCAAGAAAAGAAGGACACAGAGTCAAGACAAAGCAGCTTAGGCATCCTAGGTAAAATTCTGCATGAGTTTATAAACTACACATCTAGTAGGAACGTTTTGGCTACTCCAGGAGGAAGGGGAAAAAAAAAAGGTCTGTCCCACAGGTCTCCATACAAGATGTTTGCCTTCCTTTTTACTACCAAAGGTAATAAACATTTGTAATGAGTATATGTCACTTATTTCTATTAGTGAGGAAGACTGAAAACTTCCAGTCATTAAAACTATTGATATTTGTTTCTGTTCAACTGAGAGGAACATCAGCTCATGAGAGGAGATAGGTGCCAACAGTCTATATAAATATTATGTTGCATTTACTGCAGTATTTAACAGGCATTTCAGCAACCACGGAATGCTGGTTTCCCAGTATTGAGTAGTTTGTAGAACAGGTATTTAACAATGGAAACTATAATTGCATTGGAGTAAGACTGATTGCTATCAAATAGCCATTCTTTGCTCTCAGGCTGTCTCATGGCAGGTGGAAGGAAGTAGTATTATATTCCAAAATCCAAGAATATGTTCTATTTAAACACCTGACATCTTACTGTACTCTTCTTAGTGTTTATATTTTAAAAACACACACATATATATATTCTTGTACTGCATGGTAAATTTTTTGAAGTGTATTTAACTGTTTGTTACATTTTCTTACTTGAATTATCGGAGTTACTTTCCTAACTCTACTGCTGATCTGTCTTGCTTGCAGTGGTGACTTAAGTGCTTTGAAATTTTTTTCCAAAAACATTTCAAAATACTTATAGGCCACTTAGTACTCATTAATTTAGAGTGAGACTTGTATATTTAGGTCAGCTTTGAAACTAAGCTTTCCTATTTTACCTTTTATTTGTTGTGCGTATTTATAGTAAGTTTTGCAGAGCAGAATTGTCTTTTTATTATGTGGGTGAGTGAATGTCTGTTAACAACTAGCATAACCAGACCTTGATCTTGGTTGAGGGTGTTAGTTGTGCTTTTAAAACAAATAATAAATTAATTATTTCCCTTGTTTCTTCACTGGACTTTTTTAAAAGAAACTTTAAGTGCTTAAAATTTCGCTATTTCTTGGATGTGTCAGTTTAGAGAAAACGAAGCATCCTCTTTTTATTATTTGTCAGGATTGGATTTTCAGTAACTGGTACATTTGAATTCTGGAACAGTTCATAAGTGTAAGTTCCCTTCCTTTTCTTTAGCAGTGAGAGGTCTTCCTGTTTATATATTGCTCTAGAAACTTTCTAATATGAATCCTCATTCTCATTTTCTTGGTCTTCTAGTCTCTGAAATAATATGTTCAGCCCTTTAGCTCACATTTCTTTCTTTGAAATGAGACTCACTTGAATAATGTAACACATCTAATAGAATTTAATTTCTTTCCAATTAGAAATCCCAGACATTATGAACAGAAAGCATCTTAAATTTTTCAGGTAAGTTCTATTTTTTTTATTGCTACTAATCTGTTTATGCAAAACTGTTTCTGAATTTGACATGTTGTATGTCTTTTTTCTTAAAAAATGTCAAAGAATGCAAAACTGTCAAAGAATTTGTCGTTTGAAAAAGCAGACTAGGTATGGTGTTGCTATTTCGGCATTTCTTAGCTGTTACAAGCTAAATGCAGGTGACAGTTAATCATTAAAACATTGGAAGGATTAGAAAGCTTCGACAGTTAGAATTCCATTTCTGTAACTTAAGCATCTTTTTTTGATATTCTTAGAGAATATTTTCTCTTTACCTAAAATTCTCACCTCAGCTGTTCACTGAATTTTACACAAAAAGGATTAGCATTTGTTCATTTGTTTACACAAAAAGGATTAGCATTTACTGTTAGTGTTTAAGGATCAAGACGTAGATTTATTGATAAATGGAATTACACTGTTTTCTTACCTGAAATGAGATTTCAGATGGTAATTGTAGTCATATAACATAGTGACCTAAGTTATTTATAGTCAGAACTTATCACTAAGCAACTAAAACAGCACTAAGTTTTTAGTCATGTTTTCTAAGATCCAACTCTAGGTGTAATACAGTCTGCAGCAGTGTTTGTGTGTAATACTAGTTGAAAATCTTAAGTGAATTGATGACTTGCATCCAGTTAAAAGATCTGGGAGCTGTGAAGCTTGCTGCTAGCTCATCTGGGGCAGCAAGCCAATATGCCTTGGTAATGGACTGCGTGAACACTCTTGCTGACAACTCTATTAAATGAGATACTTTAAAGAAAAAATAAAGATTTACGAATGCTTATGTTGCCAGGAATGATATACCACTAACTCCTAGGGGTGGTATGTAGCCAGAAGTCATACTTACAGGATGTTGGAATAAAGCCAGAAATCTCAAAGAAGAGACAGTCCTCTGGCTGCTGTGTTTATAAACGCACAATTGACTTCTTGTACTGATGGAAGTGTTGTTTTATTACCCGGGTAGTGCAAAACCACATCTGTCTTACAATTGGCAAATACTGTCTTTGCCCTTGAGAAAAATTATCCATGAAGTGCACTCACTATAAGCAAGCAAGCATTCTATTAATTGAGTACTGGGTTTGACTTGTGATATTTAAATGAACCCTTCCTCCTTCATGGAGCCTTTTGAAATAATGTACTTATCATGTGAATTAATGTTTACTAACATTTTGTGTCCCCTTGAAGTCATACAACATGTTAACAGTTACCATAAATCATAATGAAGGACTTTATGTACACGTACACTAGCTCTGCAAATTGAGCATCCAGATGAAGAAACTTCCGAACTGCTTTTCCATTGCTAACAAGATTGGGAGTTTAGTGTGTCAAACCTAAAAGCAAGTGGCCTAAAGTAACTGAGGGTACAAATAGTCTGTGGGAATAAAGTGAATCATGTATTTTTTTTTTGTTCAGAATGTCAAACCTGAAAGTACTTAATTCTTCACAGAGAAATTATAGCTGTTGTAGTGTACAAGATCAGGTGAAAACGTTGGTGCTTATTCATACTGCAGTGGGACTGGTAGTAGTATTTAGAAAAGCAGCCTCACTTGAGTTAGCATCTTCTGAGGAAAGGTGAATTAATGCTGTCATTCCTTCTTGCTATTGGTAATTGTTTTCCATTACTTTTTTTTTTCTTTAAGAGAATGGGATGGTGATCTGAGGAAACTGCCAAACATCAAAATGAAAAAGTTCTCAGCTAGGGATGCTGCTGGCAGTCACCCTGAGGTGGCAGATACGGAAGCTAAAGAAGAATTGAATAAAGCAGAAGAGGTGGCCTAATGAGCACCAGCTGATTCAAGAGCTGGAACAGCTGAAGGGAATTGTAAGAAACCTGTTTTAATTATCACTGGAAACAAGAATAAATTCTAACTATATTTGCAAAGGCTTTGCTAGTTGCATTTTTTATAAGCTCACTGTGTACCTATAGTAAAGAGTAAACAGTATATTATTGGGTAAAGCTGTATGCTGTTGGATAAAAAATTTTGAATATAAATAAATACTTAAAATCTTAATTGTGTCCTTACTTCTCATACGGGACCTTCTCTTTAGGATGCAGGCTCCTGAGTTGACAAAGCAATTGTGGTTTATATCTTGAAATCCTGACTAGTTGAGTACCTCTTCCCTGGTCATAGAGCAGTCAGGGTTCAGACACCTGTTAGAAATACCTTGTGGTGGGAAATCCTTACCTTTTCCTGGTAACGGCAAGAATGTATGTCATTTAGTATATCAATAGCCGGCACCCTGGTAAACAGTGGGCCCAGCTAGTGGCAACTTTTATCCATCTCTTGTGGTGGTGGCTGGGATGTCTCTAGGTGTACGCAGTTCTGTGGAGAGCAGTGAGAGACCTCATCTCACAAAATCCTGCGTTGCGTGGCACAGAACACTCACTTTGGGTGTCAGAAATGCTCTCCCATTTGGTGGAAAAGTGTATGCAGAAGATGAGATACATGGAGCATCAGTTAATCATGAAGAACTCTTCTCTTGTACCTTCTCTTGTCTGAGAATCTGTGTCAGGAACATAGAGAGCTGGAAAGACTTCAATAATTCAATATTGAGTATTTTATGTTTTGTCAAGAGAATTTGAGAGGATTACGCTGTCCTCACCACTCTGTATTGAAGAATTCAGATCAGAAGCCAATTAAAGTCCCTACAGTCTGTTTTTAAATACATCTTTTGTCCTTTTTTTTTTCTTTTTGCTGACCCCTCTGTTGAGAAAGCTGTGCCTTTTAAAATTAAGTTGCTTAGGACTTTTAAATAGCAGGCTTGCTTTATGAAGCAGCTTTTTAGATGCCTTTAAGTGTGTTTTTCAGGAAGGTTCTTAGCAGGTTCTCACCTTTAATACCATAAAATAAAAAAAAGGAAAAAAAGGGCAAGGGCAAAGCCAGGGATAATTTCACAGCAGGCGCTAAGGAGGACATCTCTGTTAGTGCAGATTAGATTGTCTGGGCACAGAAGTCACAGTTCAGATGTACTGTCTGTACGCATTGTAGCAGTCACAGTTCAGATGCCTGTTAATAATGTGGAAATAATTACTCTTGGTGGATGATCCTTCTCGTACTTGATCCCCAGTACAGTTCTGTGTGTTAAACAACAAGGCTTTGTCATGGTAAATAGTTATGTGGGTTTCCCAGATTTCTTCTACAGATATCCAGGTGTGTATTTTCTTAGCTGTGCAGTAAGTGTTACTGATGAGTGTTACTCTGTTAACATCTATATTAAGTTTTTCCCCCTTTACAAAACAGGCTTGTGCTATCCTTTCATGTTTTAGGAAACCAATCTATTTAGGTAATATAGAATTAACCATTGTCCTCCTTAAATTAATCTAAAGAAGAAACCTGAATAAATTTAACAGACCTGAAGCACGTGTGAGTGATCTAATGCATCTTCAGACAGACTGCAAGTCTTAAACCTGTCTAGAGGTCTTATCCTCTGACGCCAGCCGTATCTCTAGGCTGTCACATCACTGCTTTGTGTTTGTGTTTTAGAAATAAGTTCAGGGCAGGCCTCTGATATTTTTTTTAACTTTGTTAAACTGAGTTGTGTTGTGGAATTCAGCATGTTTTGATTTATAAAACTTGAGGTGTTAAACTCTGGTGGAAGCTGAGCCAGGGTAATTGGTCTGAACTAAAGCCGTGTGTGTGTGTGTTCAGTGGTTTGACACATTTTGCCTTTCAGAAGATTCATCTTAAATTTTTGCTTGTATACAAGGTCTGATGTGCTTTGAAGTTGTAAGTAGAAACATTGCAGAAAAAGTCACTTTCCCATCACATTGGGTAAAATACATAAGAAAAATGAGCAGTAAGGTAACTAGAATGTTTAGCATGTCACAGTAATGACAGTGTATTAGGCTGACATCCTGGTGAATTCTTTAAAAAAAATTGTCCCGCAAAGTTATAGAGAATGAGATGTTCTGTATTCCTCAAAACAATTCACTAATGAGGCATTATAAAAAAGTAAGTATTACTTGCGTGGTTGATGTGATAGTCAAATATTTGAAGTCATTTCTTTTTTTAACATCTGTTGTTCACACTTCAAGAACATGTTTACAATTTGGACTTCGTTGAGTTTGTGGATTTTCTCCCTTGAAGTCTGTGTATTCACTGCTTGTTTAGCTGGCTTTTAAACTGTCTTGTTGACCTGCTGCATAAGTAATGAAAAACAACAGTGCTGTGTGTGAACTTCTTACATTGATTTATCAGAAAAAATAATATGTAGCTGTCAAATACTCATATTTGAATTGAAAAGTAATCTGGCCTTAAGTTAATAATGTGCAAGACCAATTTACCAGATGAATTGTTGCAGAATACTAATGTGGCAATGGGGAAAACAAACCCCAAAGCTACTTATTTATTTATTATTTCTGTGCTCAGAGTTTTTGTGCTGAGGAGCCTGGAGCGGGGGTAGAGAGAATCTTCTGCCTCATGTGTGTTACTGAGACAAGATGGTGGAATCTTTTCTATCAGTTTCATAATCCAATCATGCCTGTGCTTTAAAGCCAGCTATTAGGATTTTCTGTGTTGGTGAGTTTCTTCCCTATGGTGAAAAAGGAGGAGTTCTGAATTGTTATTCTGTTTCTTTAAAATTAAAATCTAGAAAGCAGCCGCTGTTAACAGCGGAATGGGAAATATTTATGTGATGTTCTCTGTTCTTACAAACTTGCTGCAGGGAATACCTTGAAATTCTGTTCATTTGTAGCTAAGGATTACAGACTTTAATGTTAAATCCTCTATTATAATTCTCTGTAATTGACAGGGGTCAATTACAAACCACCAACCAGAAAACACTATCCTTCTCAAGGCTGATTGTATGCAGTGGATTAATTCATTTACAATTCCTTAGTGTTGGAAACAAATGTGACTGAATTAATGGAACTGTTCACCATGGCTTTCCAATCTGCTCCTCAAAGTTGGTTCTAAAGGGATGAGACTTCCAACACATGTGATGTGGAGAAACAAGCATACAGTGAAGCACTTAGCCTCATTATTGTATTTTTCCTTTTTTCCGCTACCAACACGTGTCAATCCTTATGGAACTCCAGGATGTGCAGTGGGATGCAAAAAGACAAAAAGGCAACATGTATGAACCATTTTCTGAGCCATTCCTAAGTAGTTCAAGGAACACACTTAAAGAGTATCTTATGTGTGAATTTTTTTTTTTGTCTTTGATTGCAGTGGCATGTGTACTCACCTCTGTAATGACACTGCTGTATGTGAGGAGAGTCTGGGATCCAAAAATCTGTATGTTGGAGTCCAACTTCTAAAAAACTTTTTTTGCTAGATACCTGGCAGATAGGCATGAGTAGTAAAAAAGGGCATTATTGGTTTTTCTCAGCAGAAAAAGTTCTCCACTTAAGGAATCCTCCAGGCTTAGTTTTCTTGTAAAGGGCCAAGAAATGCCTGCACTTCGGAAGTATGTCAAATTGGCTGGTTTGGTCAGTCTCAGCATGCTACAATGCATACATCATATTTCTATCTTCTAGCTCTTTTTCAAGAGTAAAATTTCATTATAATTGACTTCCAGACTTTCTTCCTAAAAAGAAGTAAGTTATAGGAAGGTAAGAAACTTTGCTAATGAGGTGTTCTGATTTATACACTGCAATTTCAGCTGTTGCCTTAAATACAGCTAGCAAGATCGTGTGCAGAGTTCCTATAATGAAACTCTAAAAATTGCCTGACTGTGGGAGACTTACTGTAGCGATCCTGTAATCAGGTTCCCTAAGCCTTCACTGCTTGTATTGCAAATACTGTCCAATTTTCTTAAAAGGAGCAGTTTAATGTGTGACAAGTTAACTGTTACAAATGAAAAATAGAATTATTTAAACTTTCAACTAAGTTATTAGACCAGTGCCAGCATTACTCTAAAAACAGAAGCATTTTCTAAAGAAATACAGAAGGGTGGCAGCATTCTACTAATATCAGCACCTATTTGTGTAGGTTCTCACATAGTCAACCAAGACAGTAACATGCTGATTTGAAAATTTATCAAGTGACAATGCCCGTATGGTGCTGATTATTGTATTTTCATATATTTTTACCTTTGAGCTGTTTAAAAACAAAAGGAAGTTCTGTGATTCAATTAGTATCAGTCATAAGTATTTGCAAGTAATAGAAGGGCAAGTTTGTCCCAGGGCCTACCCTCTCCAGCGGAATCGTGTTCTCAACCACGGTGTAAAATTTATCTGAGGTTATTTTCTGAGCTGCATGTCGTAGGTAGCAGATGTGGTACACCATTCCAAGTACTTCGTGCGAGTTCTTTGTTAACCGACTTTTTTTTTTTTTGGCTTTTAAATAAAGTTCATGCAGAACAGCCTCAATATTTGGGGGGAGGAAGGTGTGAGTAAATACCATATAGCATGTTTCTTTGTTTATGTGTACACAGAGAGCGAACTGAACAGAAATGTGTTTTGTGTTCTAATAGTACCCTTCATCAAGAGATTTTAACTCTTGTGTGCAAAGCAAAAAGGTATAGTGAACTATACCTTTATTCTCTTAGTTCTAAAACCAAATTTGGTTCTATTTTTCCATATGCCATTATCCATATTCCACAAATGGAAATGAATATATCTTTATTACTGGAATTTCCTTGGTTATGCTGTTTCTTCTGTATTATATCTTGTTAGGGATTCATGAATCCATCTTTGGTTTAAATGGTGAGCTAGTTAGGACAGCTTTAACAAAATGAACAATCTGTTGGCCTTGGATTTGTTAGGACGCTTCTCCTGCGTTTTGAATGTATGTTCTTAGCAGTCACCAGCCATATGATGACTTATTCCAGGTAGAAGTGTGAGGTTTCGAAACTTAGCCACTCTCTCCCCAGCTGACAATCTAGGATAAAGATACAGGCTAGGTGGACTCAACCCTCTTTAGAAAACTAAATTTGAAGTTTGGTTGGAATGCTGTGTGTTTATCAAGATAGTAAACTTTCTCTGGCTTTACACCTGGCTTAAAGTACACAGATTCTTTTATAATGCACACATGTAGTATTTCTTTTCATTAAAAAAAGCATGCAA